TGACAAAATAATTTTTTATTCACTGAGTTCATCCAAGGAAGAAAAACACCGTTTAGCTCGAGTAAACAATCTTTGTTGACGCTTATTAATGGTTGTTTCGGTAATAATAATTGTCAAATCATGCTCGCGTCGTTTTCGCTCTCAGCAACTACAATCGTTAGCCGTATGAAGTAATTAATCACGAAACAATATATAATACGGCAACAACAATACACAGCAGAAGCATTCTCATCTTAAGATCTATTGCAGAAAAAGTACTGACTTGTTATTTTGCTGCAGTTTTTACTTTCCTTCCCCGTACCCCTTTTTATTGGGAGAGTTACCTCCCGTGGTTCGCGCTATGGTAGACAGCGAGAAGGCGTGGGGTGCCTTCCCCGCATATTTCGAGGATGTTATCACGAAGAAAGAGGCCGCGGAGAGGATACGCGAGACAACTGATATCTGCCGCCGGAGACCAGGATGCAGGAGGTTACCCTACGACTCCTCTGACCGGGTCCCTGCCTTGCCTTGCCCCGAGGAGGGGCGAAGCTAAGAGGAGCCTACACTGGGCCGTCCTATGGTGTAAGGCCGGCACGAGAGGTTCGCTCCGAGTGGGCTCATTGAGCCCACTCTGGATGGGTGCAGGTCGAGGGTGGTAGGGGAAAAGCCACTCTCCCTGTCTTCTGCTACCGAGGAGGAGTCGCGCGGGAAGAGGAGTGTCGGTATTGCATTTGGCCGCGCTCCCTATCCTCCGACACTCTGCGGGGCTGCACCGCTGATGCAGTGGTGGAGGGGCCGCATGGGGAGAGGAATGTCGGTATTGCGCCATCTACCCTCCGCGGCCGAAACGTGGTAAGCGGTGGAGCCATATACCAGGTCCGCCGCTGGGGGCTGGAAGGCTTGCTGCTTATTGGCACTAGCCAGAGGCCATGGGAGCCAGGTGCCTCTGGAGTTCGTTGACCATGAAAAAGGGGCCGAGTAGGATGGCGCGCTGAATGTTCCAGCTCGCATTACCTGGAGGAGTGAGGAGTTGTTCCTCGGGAGGGGGCTGTTTAGGCGGCCAGCGATGGCAGGGTCGCGGAAGTGTGCGAAAGCGGTCCCGTGGCCCGGCGATGTTCCTCCACCTAGGCGCATATCGGCGCCTAGGTGGAGGAACATCGTGGGGTTTTAGTCGGTGGGAGTCCCACATAATCCCCGCTAGGGCCGGTATGTGTAGGCATTTCCCCACGTAAACAAAAAAAACAAAGGAGGTAACCCTACGAGCGCAATCTTGTCGACGCAGACAGTGAGACCCCGAGCAGCAGGCATTGGAGTGATTGGAGTGCCTGCCGCTCAATATAGGGCTCGTGAGAGGTGCTGTGCCGATTGCGCTGGCACATATGTTTTTATAGATAATCGTACGGAACCCTTCGTGCGCGAGTCCGACTTGCACTTGGCCGGTTTTTAACTCTACATAAATAAACAAAAATCTTTCGTACTATAAACTGTACACATTATATGGCGCCAAGCAATTAAATGCAATAAAATAACGGTAAGTGATGTCGAGATTTTCACGCTATAAGGTCATCGGATACTTAGCTTAGCTAGGTGGCCCAATCTCTAAGTGGACTATCAGACTCCTGATAGTCCAGAGGGTTGCCGAGCTGGTTCGAGGATGGATTGCACAAAAGAACCTGCTTACCGTCAACGGCTGCATCGCCACTTACCATCAGGTGGGATGGCAGTCAAGTCCTAGCCAGTTTGGAATTAAAGAAAAAAATAAATAAATCCGAAAAACAATTTTCGCACTCCACTGAGTTTAACCCACGATATCAAAAAGAGACAGCATACGCCAGTAATTAAATATAAAATTAGAAATTTAAATTGTTTATAGTGCTAATCTTTGCACTTAAGATTGAACATTAAAATATGTAGAAAAAGTGCGAAAAGATTGTCGCCGCTGTGGGAATCGAACCCACGTCTTCGGCATTCGCAGCCTGACGCTCTAGCCACTGAGCTAAACGGCTGATTACCACACCGACGAAAATCTTAACGCATTCTTCCACATTGTTTTCTTAGCATTTGAAGCAATGCTTGGCGCCATCTATTGTTATATCCTTTCCAGCATACAAACAATTTCGATTCCCACAGCGGCGACAATCTTTTCGCACTTTTTCTACATATTTTAAATATATAATTATTTCGCAAAACCAACTAGTAATCTGAAGGACTCTCTGGATCGAGTATGCTCTTAAAAGTGCTCGGAAGTGAGTGGACTAGTTCGAAGTTTTAAAAGGTGCCGTTATAGAGCCTGGATGCTTCTTACAGTAAGTACCATTGTTTTAAGAATACTTTCGTCAAGTAGTATTTAATTATGTTAACATAATAGCAACGTGGAGCGGCAACATTTTTATATTTGTTTTTTTACATATCTAAAAAAACATTTGACCATTATTTATACAAACGCATGCTTAAGGTGTGGAAAGCTTCCATGGGGAACGTTAATCACTTAACGTCAGGTGATCCGCCTGCTCCATTGTTAACTTTTCGCTTAAAAGTTTCAATATTGTTACAATTGTGTAAAACGAAAGATATTTAACTTTCTACATTGCTGCTTATGTTTGGAAGAAGAATCCAGTCTGGGACTCTTTCTTGATGTCGCTATTCTCTTCAAATAAAACAAAATAGAGTGCAATTCGTGTATCCACAGGTGAAAAACAAATGGGTACGTGCGCTGCTATTCCCGAAGGCAATTTACTTCACAATTCTAATTTCTCACGTTAACGAGCGTCTTACTTAGGTTTAATAGCTAAGTAAGACGCAAACAACGGACCAATCCTTCGTTTCTTTGGCTTCGCTCACCATAGAAAGTTAAACGAACTGTATAGACTTGGATAACTCTGTGGTATTCCATAAAGTGCGCATGGTCATCTGTAACGCATTATTAAAATTGAACATTAGATCGTTAATAGAATCTAGAAATCTGCCGCTAAAACAAACTAGCAAAGAATTCAAATAAATATGATTAAAGTTATATTTCGCAGTTTATGTAATAACTATCCATAATTTACCTTAAGCAAAAAATGTACAAAGAAATAAAATTACTAAATATTACACACCTTTACACTTATTTCATCTGCATACTACTAATTTAATTCACACAAGTTATAAAATAAAAATAAACTAAACCTAAAAAACCCGTGTAAAAGTACATAAGAATTGCGAAAATAAAAGTCAAGATAGACATCTTTATGTAAAAGAGAATAAGTAAACGGGAATAAGTAGCGTCGGAGAAAAATTATAACACGAATTTGAAATATCAAATGAAACTGGCGTATCAGTATGTTCTCGAATCCTAGGTTTACGTAACCAAAAAATCAAGCCCTCCAACTAAAGGACAGGAAAGGAATAATACATATGCAGTACGCCTATATTGCAATAAAATTGCGCAAAATATTCAGCCCAACTCGAAAATATTAATTATCACGTGAACTGCCTCCGCGTACTAGAATGCCGATTCCAATTAATTGAAGGAGGCTAACGCTGATAAAGCAGGGCAGAGAGAGCTTTTTGCAGAATAGACACTTTCATAAATCATCAGTTATAATCATATTATAGTCGTAGTTTTTCCAATATTATTTTATATACAGTGTAGTTACATTATTTTTAAGTTTTGTATGTATCCATTGTCCTTAAACCGTCAATAAAAGTTTCCTCTACTTCTTCTTCTTCTTCTATCACTACATAGTATAAAACAAAGTCGTCCCGCTGTCTGTCTGTCCCTATGTCTGCTTAGATCTATAAAACTACGCAACGGATCTTGATGCGTTTTTTTTACTAGATAGAGTGATTCAAGAGGAAGGTTTATATGTATAATACATTGCACCCGAAGCCGGGGTCGCTAGTACTTCAATAATTTCTGTTGATGATGCAACCGACAAATAAGAGCTACAGTATTTTCTTCTGTTTGTGTGAGGGTAGTAAAAAAGTCTTTGGGGGTGATGTAAGCCTAGAGGAAGACAGATAGATTTGGATGGACTGTGTGAATAAGGATATGTTTGTAAAAGATGATGAGATGAAAGATGTAAGGAGATGCTGGCTGCTAGTAAGGCTTCAACTTTACGATGATCTTTTGTAAGACCATGGCATTTGCTTGATGAGGCTGCTTCGATGCACAAATTGTGCCTCATCCACAATTGCAAAGTTATGCTTCTAAAACTTTAGTATTTTTCACTGCTTTATAAATTATATTAATATCCTTTAAAAAAAACATATGTGCGGAATATAACACATAACTTAGGAATCTATAAGTTTATTTTACTTAATATTGTATATAATACATTAATGTTGGTTTGTGTCGTTTAAATCAGCATTTAATAATATATATTTTTTTTTAAATAAGTTAGTGTTAAAGATCAAATGAAATACTATTTTATTATTTCATTTGAACTTTCACATAAAATGACAGAGGAAGAGAGCAATGAATACCGCCTGCAAGTTTTCTCATTATTTTTGTTTGTTTTCAGACGGCACTCAAGTTGTAATATCCGGTAATTAACGGAGGAACATCTGCAACGGATATTAAAGCTTCGTGTAGTTATTTCAAAAGAGGACGACATCATGGCTAAGTATTTAACCGACAATTCTGGGACCAGGATTCAATACAACACCAACGCTTGTGTAATTATATAAAAGTTTATCTTTGTCAAATTGAGACTACACCTTTCCTGTGTTCTCTCGTAAACAACTAATTTATTTTTTCATAGGACGTTTCGTCTAAAAACTAATTTAAGAAATAAAATAAATCATCAGCTTCTAGATGCTAAAAACATAAGTTATTCAAGAGTTCGATTCTTGAGATCTTGGTTCAAAAAAGAACACTATTCAAAGGGTTAGAAGAACGGAGAAAAGATTAAAAATGAAACAAGAAAACAAAAAATTTACAGAAACTTTAATATCAACTGTTACGATGACATATTTGACAAAAAAGGTGATGAAAAACCGGACGTGGGAAAAGAATCTTCGTTAACGAAGATCGTTCAGTATTTATGGTTCCTGCTGTAATTAGAACTGTCACCGGCAGCGGTTGCAATGGTTCCCGCGTCGTATTTGCCGAGGGATGCCAATCCGTTGGCCTAAAAATAACAATGTTCGTTATACGTAACAAGAATAAAAAAAAAATATCTGATAAAAATGCATTATGTAGTTAGTTAAAAATGTAAACTTTGTAGATTTACGATCGAAAACTTTAAAGGTTGAATGTTGCCACCTTTATCGAACAATGGGCCTGAGTTTTGCTTTCACTCACTAGAATCTAGACTTTATCTGGAGACTAGATGAAGCGCAACGCTGGTCTTCTGTGAGGCCAAGGGCCTCAGACGAGCCAATCCATCCTTGTAAACGGAAGATTTTGCGTGGTCCTAACATATTTTTACTAATATTATCTTATATGTGCCCAGGCTTAGAAACGAGGCTGACCATCTGTTTCACAAGTTTTGTGACTTAATAAGTTGGTTAACTTAACCTCGTTGGTTTGAAAAGGGGGAAAAGCTAACGATTCCTTATCTTATACATAATGGTACCTTAGCCCTCTTGATCAGTTCTGCCTGAGCTTTCTTTACATTCTCATCCTTCCCCGCCCAGGTCTTCCACACGGACGCCTGCAGAGCCCGCCCGTAGCTAAACGTGAGCGTCCACGGCTTCTTCTTCTGCACCTTGTTAATGGCGTCGAGATTGACCGTCGCCTCTTCCTCAGACTGCCCACCAGATAAAAACGCGATGCCTACAAAAAACACCTAAAAATACAATAATCTAGAAACTCGGACATACTGAATTCAAATCCCAGTTGAAATTATTAATTTTAAGTGCTGACCTATCACGTATTCAGCGGCGAAGAAAAACTTCGTGAGGAAACCTGCACATTTTCGTAACAATAAGAAACGAAATGTTATCGAAGATAATTATGTGAATTTAGCCAATCTGCAGCGTGGTCGTGTGGTGGACTATGTCATAATACTCTCTGTACAGAAGATAATTTGCCTAACAGCCTTATACTTTTTTTAATAACGACTGATCAATCCCGAATCTTTTGGCAAAACGTTACAAAGTTACAAAGGCACTTATCTTACTGTGTAGCCACAGTAAGTTGGATTGTGTGGTAGACAATTTTTCATCGATGTTCTACACCTAATTTTAATGTTATTTAGTTTTGCTAATAGGTTTATATTAAATGTAACCTGGAACAGCGGCTGGTACCCCTCGAAGCAGAGCTGTGACCGTGGCTTCGGCTATCTCTTCGGGTGCGCTTCTTGTAAGGCATCCTTGACCAGGAGTAACCTAAAATATATTATATGTGCCCAAAAAAAAATATTAAAGGATTTTTTTAAATGAAAACTACAAGCAAGTTTAATATTTATAAATTCTTTCATAATGATTATTTTTATCATTGTAAACCGAACATCGATGGTCAGATACTATTTGAACTATGTAAAGAGAACTATACTACTCATTTAGCATAATATAACTCGAAATTATTTTCTGCATGTGTACAATGAATGAGTGTATGCTAGAAGTTCTGTTGGTTGCAGTACATATAAATGATTTTATACCAAAAGATATTTAAAAAATATATGAATATTATATTAAAAATAAAATACATACTAAACTAAAAATATTATATATCCGTTTTAAAAATTACGATCCTCCTCTAGAAATCAAGGAATCTATTTTTACGTAAAAACATATCGTTTAATAGTCCCAATTCTTAAAACTTCTATCTAGTTAGTTTTTAAAAGATTTACTTTCAAACGCAATTTTTCAAGTGCTTATTTCTAAAATTTTAGCCTTACTGTCGAGATTTCAATACATAATAATTACCATATTCGGTTTCAAAAGGGTCCCCTCTAGAAAGACATGGTGATCATTCAACGACTTGTAAACTGCTGCCAATACAACCTCTGTCACCTTCTGAGTTCTAACGATGTCATGGTCGCCTGGTAAAAAATAAAAACATTTAGAAAACGTGTTCTAATATATTCTAATTTTTTTTGGATAACTGTTTTAAAAACTAACGATATCTTATTCAACTATATCTTAAAGAAAGTGTAGTAGACATTACCGATGGAAACATAAATAAGCAATTGTTTGTTCTACAATAAGCATACATAACTCGATAGAAAAATGGGAATAGAAATACATACAATTATTGAGGAGTTGATTAATAATACATGCACATACATTATTTTATGTACATATTTTGTTTAACCCTTGGGTTAGCACCTGCCATGACAAGGGTCCATGACTGGTAGAGTATTAATTCCCTTTAAGTCCGCCCATTGCAGCCATTATGTTAAGGCGTGGCAATAAAGTTTAAACAAATAAATAATTACCGTCCAGCAAAACGTCAGGCTCCACAATAGGAACTACTCCCTGGCTCTGACAGATACTAGCGTAGCGAGCGAGAACTTGAGCGGTGTCGTGTATGGCCTGGGGCGAAGGCGTGTGGTCTCCGATCTTCAAAGGGCACCGCCATTTCGCGAATTGACATCCCTGCTTCTTGTACTCGGCGCACCGTTGAGCGAGATCGTCCAGGCCTAAGAAATTGACCAAAATCAATAAATCAAAAATCTAAATCATTTATTCATCGACATAAGAAACATTACGTTTCATCTATCGATAGTTTAACGGAGAAGAGACAAACGAAAAAAAACTCCGTAACTGATACATTTGAAACAAAAACATCTTTATCGCACTAATAAATTACAACACGCGATTAGTACTATTATTAGTACTCTTGTACTGAATTTTCATGATTAAAGCATTGGTAGAAATAAAAGCGTCAGTTCTCTGATCATATGAAGGCAGTTTTACTATTAAAATGTTCACGCACCGTCCTAATACCTCACTACAATTTCATCACTATCAGCATCACCAGTGGACCTTTGATTGTCCACAGCTGGACGCGGACCTCCTAGTAAAAACCATATGATTCAATCTTTTAACCTTATTGTCCAGGTGGAACCTAATTTCTCTTAATTAACTATTACTAATTTCTCTTAGTAAAATGCCGGAATTTGCACTCTACAAAAGCTATATAGCACTGTTTAAGAATCTCTTTGAATTATTTTGACTTGTTATATGGTTTTATGACATCTAGTTTAGATTTTATTAAATGATGACATGGCAATAATACATAAAATAATTCTTTACAAAAATGATAAAAAATACTGCTATTAAATACGAATCATATCTATAAAAAAAGATTGGTTATTCGTAGACAGACTAAAGATCAACTGAATAAGCTCAGTGTCTATATTATCATCATCATCAACATTTCAGCCTGTTTGAGTCCACTGCTGAACATAGGCCTCCCCCACAGACTGCCACGAAGCACTGTATATTATATTATAACTTAATAGAATTTTAGATCTTTAGCTCACCTTGAGTTGTGACTTCGTCTTCCGATAAATACAAAGGCACCACATCCCTGTCTACTTTGATGCCCGGTATAATGTTCTTGCTTTTTAACAGCTCAATAAAAGGAACACCACCGTCAGTCTTTTGGTAGACCGTTTCGTCGAACAATATCACCGCAGATATGTTCTCGGAGAGAACCTGTAATGTATTGACAAGGAATGGAGTTGGATCAAACTGTAATAGACTGGGTAATTCCCAGCATGAGTTGCAACGTAAACCTTCCCTTAAATGAAATTACCATCTGAACAGCGAAGATCGTTGTTTGGTAGCGCAACAGTCTTCGCTATTGCATGAATGGGAAGGTCCGTCCCGAAAAGTATCACGACCTCACAGAAGACCTGTGTGAAGTAGAAGTGTACACATCTGCGTTTCGTATGGTGAGTGAGGCAGCCGGGGCCCATTTTATTGAAAGGTGGCAACGCATCTGCAACCTTACGGGTGTTGCAAATGTCCATGGGTGGCGGTTATCACTTAACATCAGGTGAACCGCCAGCTCGCTTGCCACCTCCAGAAATAAGTATAGTTAGAAATAATAATAATAAAAATTTTGGTTTTTAAAGAATAAGAAGTGAAGGCCAGCTTTCCAAGACCTATGAGTCTACCAAAAATTTTAACGGTATAGAAGCGAAAATATCATATCAATAATAATTAGATAGGTACATTCTTTATGAGAAACGAGTACATTCTTTTTGCCGTTTCGGTAGCGATGAAGACTGATTGATGGTCGATCCAATTTGCCAAAATTGATGAATGAAGTTCACTTTCACACGAACGTTGAAAGGCTTCGTTTTTAGAAATTACGAGCATAATTTATTGCAGAACGGTGAGAATGTAAATATGTTGTTGACCGAATGAAACGGTGGTAGGGCCACGCAGCAGCCTCGGCTGTTGCACGAATGGGCAGGCCCGTCCGAATAAGTACCACGACCTCACAGAAGACCAGCGTAAGGTGGAAGTATGACAAATACTTTCGCGTTTCGTCTGGTGAGTCAGGTAGCCGGAGCCCAATTTTCAAAAGGTTGTCAACGCATCTGTAACTCTCGGATGTAGCAGATGTCCATGGGCGGCGGTATTCACTTAACATCAGGTGACCCGTCTACTCGTTTGGCAACTTTTCGCATAAAAAAAAAGCGACAAAAATATAAATAGCATGGACTACATCACTGATAAAAAACGTATAGAACGTTTATGTGCGAGGCGATCATTGAATTGACGGTTTACCTGATTTAGAGATATAATCGCCCATGGACATGTACAACCTTTAAAATGATTGCCCTCAAGGTAAGCTCACTAGCCGGAATAGTATATTACTTTTATTTATTTTCTTCAAAATTGGCATTCAAGCGAGCTAGTCGTTCAAGTAATGTTAATTATGGAGATCTGCAACAGTTGCGTTGCAGACTTTTATAAAATTGTGCCACGGAATTTTACATGAAGTGGAAGTACAATACTTTCACTACTAAATTTTCACAGATGATGTATTTGTTGCCGCTATAACAAAAAATATTAAAAACCAGAATAAAAATATATTTAAATTGGGCTCTCATACAACAGACTTTTTTTTGCATTTTTTATAGATAACGGTACGGAACCTCCCGTGCGCTAGCCCGACTCGCACTTGGTTGTTTAATGTGAAAATTTGTTAAACGAGCAGGCGGTTCACCAACCTTTAAAAAATGGGCTCCAATCACCTGACTCACAAGGCGAAACGCAAATGTACAATACATGTAATTCGCGCCGGCCTTCAGTGAGGCCGTGGTAAATTCCCGGACGTGCCTGCCCATTCGTGCACCAGCAGATGCCGCGTGGCCTTAACACAATAAAAAGTCCACAATTTGGTATAACACAGATTTGAGAGTTTTCCCATTTCTCTCAACCTACGTCCTATCCTGTTCACCACATAGGGGCTAAGCATGGCGTCTTGTTTTCGTATTGACCATCATTAAATGGCTATTAGTATATGTGATGACTCTTTTATGATCTTCTGGTTGTCTAAAGTGTTCCACAGTTAAAATCCATTATCACAGTCACTTCCAAATAACCGCGTAACCCGACTTATGTCAACGAAATCTACTCGACTACAAACAAATTTTACATCGCAATAAAGGCTTTGCTCTCAAGCTTGCTTGTTTATCTTCCCGCTAGAAATTAATTACGGCCTCGTTAACTCGGCAGCAAATCCCACGGCACAATAAATTTCGCAGAACGTAACGGATAAATTTCTCGCTTACATTATGCCTGACTGGTAGGTAATGACGTATATATTCGGCCAATAGTGACATTGGTGCTTTAGTGTTTTCGATTTAGGTGAACTAGGAGTATGTACACTTTTGAGTTTCGTCCAGTGAGTGAAGTAACTAACATCTAGTGCAGAATATGTGTAGTAATACCTCTAGTGGTTAGTTACCAGGTCTTTGTAAAATGAAGGAAATAATAAGCTTAACTAAAGCCCTGTACAAAATGTTTCACACGTATTATCATAAATAATCAGTTTACATAAAGATCTATATAAGATTTTGTATACGTAATATCCATACAAGTATAATCGTTAGTTGGTCTAGAAGTTTTCGCGTTAAGTTATTTGTGATTAGGCTGATTGAGTTTATGTTAATACAATAACGCCCGGTTTCCGAAACACTGATATTTGTAAAGCCATTTGATACCTGATTAGTTAACATTTACGATGATCAGTGTTTCAGAAACCGGGCGTAAATCATGATAGAATTATTATACATACTGATGTACGAACAATAATTCCGTCACCAAATATTCCATACTATATGGTGTATACTATATCTATTGCTAGGATATAGTGAGATCTATTGTAGTCTTCCTTTCAAAAGCATTGCCCCCTTACTGTAGGATAACATTATCCTGTGTTGTAAGGACGTTCTTATGTACTTAAATTTCACTTTGACAAACACCAATTCGAAACAACTAACTGTGGGTCACACAAATAGTTGTCCCATGTGGGAATCGAACCCACGACTACCGACGCCGAAGCCAATTACTAAGCAACTGCTTTCACCTAACAGTATTTACTACACAAAATTAGAAAAGATTACGTCATCAGAGGTAAACAGTAGCTGCCTGTACCGCCTTCGATTGTCCTCTGTATTCTCCAAACCCACCCCCGCCAACAGTTTGCCAATTCCCTCTGGAAAGACCAGTCTGGAATTAGTCTCCTATATACATTAAACTCCTAAAGGGATAATGGCAACTGATATTTGTTGCAATTGTTTCTTAAATTTATAAACACAAAGATTGTATCAGAACACCAAAGTTTTGTAAAAAGTAAAGTAACAGACACGTCCCACCGCTGGGCAAAGGCTTTCTCTGTACAGAGGGTATCAGGGCATAGTCCACCATGCAGCCCCACTGCGGATTGGCGGACTTCACATATCTTCGAAATACTTTTTTTTGTTATTATTTCGAAAATTGCAGGTTTCCTCACGATGATTCCTTCACCGCTAAGCATGTGATAAGTCAGCACTTGAAATTAACAATTTCATTGGTGCCCGGACACTGAGCTATCACGGTAGAGTTTTGTAGGCCTAAAGTAAAACGAGAGATCTTCTACTTTCACTTTGAGACAAGATCTTCGATTAGTATATTTTGGCTTTCGACTCAGTATACCAACATACGAATTTGAACGCGGCCAAATTTTTTTTTAAGTTTTGCACGAAGTCATCTCGAAGCAAATTCCATCATCTGCAATCCCAACGAACATAAATAGCTAGGTATCCCAGGACTTTACTTTACGTTTATCCTTTTTAATTTAGTTATTTATTTATTTATATTATTATTTTGACTGACCATGTCTCGCTCTTTTGTTGACAGGCGAGTGTTTATGTATAGAATCTACACATAAACACATATATCAATACTATAGATATATGTGTCTAAGTTCCTAAACTGCATATAAATAATGTTTTTCAAACATTAATCAAATTCCTATATATTTATTATTTTTTACTGACCATTGGATTCGTCCACGGCCAGTATTCCTTTCCCAGGGGCGACTATGGCCTCTGCAGTTTTTTTCAACAGCTCTTGAAGTTTTGTATCCGGATAAGAGAAATGCGTTGACATCTTTCTATGGACAAAACAAAAACCGATTTAAAATTATTGTAATTCACAATGACTATTACTTGGTTCTCGTTTCTAGCTTTTATAACACTTCCACTTCATGCCGGTCTTCTGTGAGGTCGTGGTACTTTCCCGGACGAGCCTGCCCATTCGTGCATGCGTGGCCTTACCACAGTGAAATAATAATCAAAATATTTTTAGGACCATAAATAACTGCGATTCTCAAATAAATTTACTACTCATTCGACTACAAAGCCAGATTCCGCTTAAACATATATTATTATACTAGTTATAAGTAAGTTAAGTTATAAATTGTGGAATTATTGCAATTCGCGTTGTTGTAATTTACGCACATTGTTACGTAAACGATTATAAAACCGATTGGACAGATAACAAAATGTTTGCAACTTCGAATACTACCGAAATAAATGAAAAACCCGTGCTACTAATATTTTCTTGAACAGGCAAGTAACGGAACTAGTAAAATAATTGTTTTATTTTAGTGACGATTATTCAAACATATAATCTTCGTACAAGATTTTGTTAACATCCAAAAACAGTATTTATCTCTGAAGTGTTTGAACAATTCATTGTTTATTGTTTAATTATCTTAACAGATAAATAAAAAAAGGTTAAAGATTTACATAACTAAGATTATACATATAATTTTTGTAAGTTGAGTAATAGTCGATGATATTAGCAGAAATAACACTTTTCTTGTTAAATCGGATGTATTGATGCACACAAATTCAATTACCTTAATAATCAAATTAAAAGATAATTAGCGAAATAAGACATTAAAAACAACTTTGATAAAATAACGGGTTTTTAAATAATCACAAAAAACACAACCTTCCGATAGATTATTACAACTTCAAAATAACACATAATTTTATACCAAACAAAAAAGTAATTGTCCTATTCAAAACTTATATGTACTGGGATTTTATATTGATAGTACCCAAATTGTCACTTTACTTTTTAGTTTAAAAAAGGCTCTGTATCCATTTTTTTTTACTACATCTTTTATACAGAGTCAACACTCAACAGTTTTACTACTATATAAAATAATATATAAAATGAACACTATCTACTATTATAAAGAACGGAAAATTTGCAAATTTCTAGAGGAAGTTTGGTATTTAATAGTTATTTAGAAACTCACTGATTAACGAAATTTGTTTGTAACTGATATATCACAAGCGCTTAAACCGAAGCGGGACACACTACTGATTGTATAATGGGATGATTATAAATACAATTGCGATAAGAGAATGTAATTCTCGAAAGATAACCGAGCCGATAAATGGCATAGATGGTGTTCATAAATATATCTCTTTTCCAGTAAAATATACCCTGTTTTAGGATAACATGATCCGGTGTTGTAGAGTTGTTTTGCAAACACAAATACAGCGAAGGCAAAAACACCTAAATCTGGAATGATTATCTGTCATTAATACTTATACAGATAATATCCACGACCTAGGTGTCTCACCGATTTTTAAAAATAATGGTTAAAAAAAATGCACCACAAAGTGCGGATTTACCAATGATTCATTCATTTGCGATGTCATAAAGGCGTAGAAGACTGTTATTAATTAAATATTTTAATGTAATGACTATTTATCATCTAAGTAGCTCTTATTAATACAAACTATGTTTGATTACAGTTTTAGAATTAGAGATGCAGTTCGCGATTGGAAAAAAAGCAAATATTTCATTTAAATAAAACCAAGTGTGACGTAGGCCAACAATGTTAGTTCTAAACTACGTGTAGTATGTGCATCTGACATATATCCAATTTGCTGAGGACCCGTTTGATATTAATTATCATCATCATCACAGACTGCCATTAAGCACGATCCTGAGCCACCAGCATCCATCAACTTCCAGCACACTTACACAGTTCGTCACTCCATCTGGTGAGGGTCGTCCTACACTACGATGGCCAAAACGAGGCTGCTCTAAAACCTTTCGATGTTATATTACGCAGTTGATGTGTATAGATAACATTTTTAAAATATGCTCCAATCCGTAATGTGTGCGGATGTTCGCTTTGAATTTAACTCGAGCAACTTCAGTGCAAAACCCGACTCCGGCACCGACGAAATTGTAAATTGCAACGTTAAGTGCTCACTTATCACATGCACGGCGGCGAAGAAAGACGCCGTGAGGAGACCTGCATGTTTTCGAAATAATAAAATATTTCGAAACTATACGTGATCCGCCACCAATCCGCGTTGGGATCGCGTGGTGGATTATGCCCTAACGCCTTCTCATCTTCATATACAAGCATATACAAGTCGTTACTCTACTATTCGTATCTCTACGAAAGGTACCTGTGATGACGAAGTGATTTCCGAGAAATCACTTCGTCATGTTAACAACATCACAGACAAAATGCCAAAATACGAAAGGTCAAATGTATTAAGGAGTCAATTGTGACAATTAGTTTGTATCAATACTAATATTGAAATGATAAAACCTAATCGAAAACAATATGTGCCTATTAAAGCGCCCATTAAGGTGATTGTTTTTGACGTTCAATAAGTGCTTAAAATATAACTATGTTGAATAAAGAAATTTGACTTTGACTTTGAAAGAATTGAGAAACAGAAGAATTGAAGATTCTAGCTGAATTCACTATTGATATGTCTTTATTTTCCTTTTTTTGTACATCATACTGCAACGGAACGACTAGACAGATGTTATTTTTTTTTTATGTCAAAGTTGTCAAACGACCAGACGGTTCACCTGATGTTAAGTGTATACCGCCGCCCATGGACATCTGCCACACCCGAGGGTTACAGATGCGTTGACAACCTTTTGAAAATTGGGCTCCGGCTACCTCACTCACCAGACGAAACGCGAAAGTACTTGTCATACTTCCACTTTACGCTGGTCTTCTGTGAGGTCGTGGTACTGACCCGAACGGGCCTGCCCATTCGTGCAACACAGGCTGCTGCATGGCCCTACCACCGTAGATTCTTGCAGAATTACAATTTTGTCATTTTTATTTAGTTCATATATATTATTTATTTTTTTGTATAGTAATTAAAATGTTAGCAATAAATAGTATCGTCCGCCCTGCCTGGACATCTGCAACACCACCTGTGGGATTACTGGTAAGGCCAGCGCAAGCATAAATACTTCATCTTCGCGCCCATCATCAGGGTCGGGTCAGTGCATTGTCCAGTGGGAGAAAATAATGTATCAACCCGATTATAAAAATACACCGATCTAACAGCATTTTATTTTGGCTTTAAAGTAACAGCCTATACATGTCCCACTGCTGGCCAAAGGCCTCCTCTATATAGAGGGTATCAGGGCATAGTCCACCACGCGGCCCCACTGCGGATTGGCGGACTTCACATATCTTCGAAATATTTTTTTTTGTTATTATTTCTAAAATATGCAGGTTTCCTCACGATGTGTTCCTTCACCGCGGAGCACGTGATAAGACAGCACTTAAAGTTAAAAACTTCATTGGTGCCGGCACCGGGGATCGAACTCAGGTTGCTCGAGTATTTTAAATTAAAGGCGAGCGCCCGGACACTGAGCTATTACGGCTCATTTAGGCTTTATTAGAACGTAAAACACATCAGTTCGCCCCGTGACCATTTTTTTTACATTTATACATAGACTAATGATAAATGTCATCATCAAGAGGTTGTTACTTGAGAACCTATCTCCCCACCCAGTTATCGGTTGTATGTACAATGTGTTACATGCAACTGGAAATAAGGTGGCGGACAAGGTGGACACTTTGACAATAAAGATTAAAAACCTAAACATGAAATTAAGTAAAAAAAACACCAATAAATAAACATCAACTTAACAACAGACGGAAAAAGGACGATTGTTATAATTTTAACACTATTTATTCAATGATATTATATACAAGTATGAGGTAGATACGACACTAGCGCACCAAAACTGAGGCACTGAAATTGCACCAATTGTATTTGTAATGTGTAATTAGATTGCAACTCTACAGACTGCTATCTCTTTCCGTATCATACGTTTTATATCATCTGTCACATTAACATATATATTAAGCTGAACAATTTTTAAATGCCACGCAGTATGGACATGCGTCTTCTATATAATTAAACATCATTGCTTAGTAGTTCGCGATACTACACACCGGGCTTACATACAATAATGAGTTGATAGACAATTATAACCTAAAAAATTTTTTGGGAGCAATGTTAACGTTTTACTGCCAATGCACATGCACGGCCGTTAGTTACATTGTCATTATGAAGTCATTACAACGATTCGTTACGAAATTATGTAACTAACGGCCGCTCGTTGAATAAAGGAACCGGGCATTAGGCAATATCACTAACCGGTCACGCCGTAGTTACGAGTTCGAATACACCTTTGTTTAACAAAATCATGCTGATCAATTTTTTTATTGATCATCATTCTAGTAAAGCCTGGAACATTCGTGAAATTGCAGTATATATAATGAAAGCGATTCCGATTGGACATTTTAAGGATTATCATCAAACAGGCGAACGGGGACATTACCCGTTCGCCTTATCTCCTAAATTTTGAAATACCTCTTTGAAACCAAATCTCTGTACTGACCACCTTAAGTATAAATTGTTGTATGTGGGAGTATGTGTGGTTTTCATGTAATATTTACGGTGTGCCGAAATAACATGTTATTTAAGTACTTCTCCGCCAAACTTCAGATTTTCTACACGATACGTATTGTAAGTCTTTTGAGTCACATTAAATATTAATAATTGATTACTCCCTCACCTTTACGTTACTGGAAAAGTAGAAGTTCGAAAATTCCATCTTTTGTTGAAAACATTTCGCTGAAACATTCAGCAGACCATTTAAGAAGTTCCGATTATGGGAAACTAGCTGCTGCCCACGACTACGTCTGCGTAGTGTAGGCTGAAGACGTCATATTCAGACAGAAAGACAGATATGCATAAAATATGTATATAACTTATAGCCTATGTGTTATTCTGATGTATAAGCTATATTATTATAAAGTTCCATTAAAATCCATTCAGTAGTATTTGCGTGAAAGAGTAAGAAACATCCATTCATACATACAAACTTTCGCATTTATAATATTAGTAAGAATGCATACAGCTGAATAAAACAATCTACTAGCGTCTGTTTTTCGTCCACTTAAAAATTATATTCAGTGAAGACATGGGTGACGTAAAGCAGTTAAGTGACAAAAGAAGATAAGTAACTGTTTTGTACGTGTACCGTGTAACAAGGTTTTGTTTAGTCATGCCTTTACCATCTTAACTTGGGATACTCAATTAATTAAAATAAATACAATACGACAGAAAACAAAATAAAATACAAAATTTCGTAGCTGTAATAGACGTAATAGTATTCTTATTATAAATAACATTATATATGTCTTATTTATGATAAAATAGTAATAACTGTTGGGAAATTAATTAGGGCCATCTGTAAACACGTATTCGAATTATTGTTGACAATAACAACATCAAAAAACATTCTGCGAGAACTTGCGTATATAATTACTAGATGGCGCTGAAACAAGCTCCAATAAAAATAAATGTCGGTAAAACAGTACCGATTAATGGTTTATCTTCAGTCCTTCAAATGACCTTTATTCGTGTGCTGTACTCTTGATTTTAACAATTTGACAGTTGTGTGGAAGAGAACAGATCGGGAGTGTCCGTAATATAATCTGCTGAAGCAATTAATTAATAAAGTGAGTTTTACATTTCATTTCTATTTAGGAAATATCTACCTTCAGTAAGTCAATGCTGAGAAAACAAATATTGTGTTTAGGTTAGCTTGCATGACACCTTTATGTAATGAAACTTCCATCTTTTCATAATGTTTTAACGTTAAGCATTACATATTATACATTATTGTTTTAATAGTGGCAGATCTCATAATGAATAAATTTCACATAGACTATAGTCATATAATTTATTAATATAACGTAACTAACTTTCACCATAATTACCAATAAGAATAATTGTCTAAAAAATGAGTAAGAAGCTTGTTTCATAATTATTTAATAAAAATTACGTAGGTACGTAAAAATTATCTTAAAGTAATGATATTAATTTATTGTTTTCGGTATAAATTAGGTCGTAGGTAATTATTAAAAGAATACGTTTACACCTCGTTTAGTTACGTTCAATGTTCTTGAAATATTTGGGAGTGCTCCAAAATTATTTAACCAATGTAAGTTTAATATAGATAGTCTAAATATTATGTTTATTTCTACGCGAGAGTGAAACTTACAATCGTAACGACTTACTTTTATTGACCTGTCAAGTGCTGTCAAGGTCACCTTAACCTTTTTTATTAATAAACTCAATACAAACAAGTGGACAGTTAAAACGGAATTTTTTAATATTCTTCAAATGTCAAATTAACTGTTCGATATTTGCTTGCGACTGTGTGATTCACGTACATGCTTACGTGACATAAGGAATGTAGAGAAGTTAAATAGTGTTGTAAAATCGATTTACTTACAAAACTTGTAGAAATATTTATTTTCTTTAAATAAGTTTCTCGTTTAAGTCTCGATCCTACTATCCGTGACCCGGTTGGTGTTTGCTTTAAAACCATCGATATGCCTACTTATATTCTACAGTCTTATATATTCTTATTCTTAGCAAGCGGTATCACCGGCATTTTTCTATTTTTTTCTGAATTCATATAGATAACTATTACGGTAAACAAGAGTACCTACCAATTTAACAGCTGTAAGCTCTCTATTCTTTCCCATATTTTATCAAATTATTTTGTCTGATTGCCGCTACGTTTCCAAACGTTACTTAATTTCCTTTATAAAATACTAACTTAAAAAGCTACCCAGACCCGTCACACGTCCTATAAACGCGTCTCAAATCCGACAACTTATAAATAAAAAAATTGTGTAACTAAAACTTAAGTTACTTTCTAAAATGCTAATTTAAAAAGCTAAAGACCCGACAGACGTCCTGTCCACGCGTCTCACATCCGACAACAACGTATAAATAAAAAAAGAATTAAAAAAAAAAACACTAATTTACAGAATTGTGAATCTAAACCATTCTCGAATCCACTTGAGCAGAAAAAGTACGTACGTAACGTTTATTCGTACACAGGCACAGAAGAAATTTTATATATAAAAATTTACTACATAATTTTTTTAATCGTAACATTTTGTAAACTACAATTAATGAATGAGTTCATGTTTGATCTTGCACACACAAGATTTACAACATACATATTTAATGTTTGTGCGATACTGAAGGAGCCATTTGGTGGGTGATTATTGTTGTTGTTGATTTTTCAAAGTGCGCCCCATAGATTATGCAAAAACGCGTCACTGTGATTTTCCTAATTCAAACATTTTAGGTTGACAGAGGCGTCACTTAAGCGGTAAGCTTTTTGTATGTAAGATTATAATGTCGAGTGTAAACAGATTTTATTTTTGATAAATTTAGTGTTTTACATTGTGTTAAATTGAAAAAATGCCACCAAAAAAAGGGAAAAAGGGCAAAAAGGGTCCACCGGAATCCGGTTGGATGCCGGGATTCGGAACAAAAGGTACAGTACAGTTTGACTTTAGGTTAATTTTCCACTACAAAAGAATTACACTTTTTGTTATTTAATACGATTTTCCCCATAATCTAGTGGTTTTCATTGATTATAACTTATATAATATTTAATTATTAACATTTCTCTATAGATTAAAATTTTTTTCTAGCTTGAAAAACGAGACGTACTATTCGGAATATTAGCCAACAATAATTACTAATACATAAATTCATTCAAGGATCAATTTTCTTTAATCTGTTTACACAAAGATACCAAACCTGGGGGCAAATAAGATAGCCTATGTTATAAAACTAAATGTGTTTACAAATTTCAATTTTCAACCGACTTCACAAAGGGAAGGTATGCAATTCGGATGTAAAAAGTAAAGTAAAGTATCAGCCTATACATATCCCACTGCTGGGCAAAGGCCTCCTCTGTACAGAGGGTGTCAGGGCATAGTCCACCACGCGGCCCCACTGCGGATTGGCGGACTTCACATATCTTCGAAATATTTTTTTTTGTTATTATTTCGAAAATATGCAGGTTTCCTCACGATGTTTTCCTTCACCGCTGAGCACGTGATAATTCAGCACTTAAAATTGACAATTTCATTGGTGCTGGCACCGGGGATCGAACTCAGGTTGCGCGAGTATATTAAATCAAAGGCGAGCGCCCTGATACTGAGCTATCACGGCTTCAAAATTCGGATGTATTTCTTTTAAAATTTGTTACCTCCGAACTATGCTACTTATGTTTAAGTTTTCTTTAAATATATAGAAAAGTCCTCGAAAATTTATCACCTATTGGGTAGTTTAATAAGGTAGGCATGGAGGTACTTAGAGACAAGAAACTAATAAAAGAATATTAAACAGATATTAGGTACAATGAAGAACGTACATACAGAAGATAGATAAGATATATTATATGACATCAATTTGCTTACATGTAAAGACGCTATAATTTACCTTCTTTATTTATATGGAAAATTTATTATTATATTTATTTATATGGAAAATGTTATAGTTGCTTTTAAAAAAACAGTAACCAAAAAAAAAAGTTTACTTATATAGTAGATCATAACCCTTGATAATCACTACGAGTCGCTTGGCAGAACTTAAACTGCAGTCTCCATAACTCACTAACCTTTTATTTCGGAAATAATATTTTCTTATTTAAATAGGTAGGTATATTATATTATGTAGGGACGTTATAAGGGTACGAGAATCAGGATAAAGAATCGGAACACAGGCGAACTATCCATAGGTCATGAAAACACTTATTTTTTTCCTCATGTTTTTTTGTCTAATTTTTATTGTTTTAAATGATTGTTGTGTACGTCAGTCTGTTTTATGTCAAATAAATCTCTTTCTTTCTTTGTGGAATTGAATTTGACTCCCGAGACGCCGAAGCCAATTATCTTCCCCAACTATATGTGACCGAGCTATCGAAATTACATTTGATTGTCTAATAAAGATATCTTTATAATCTTTATAATGTCTTGTAAGCTGAGATATACGTATAATCTTTATAATATCGCGTAAACTATCCGAATACCTTCCTATATTGCTATGCACTGGCTTTGTGCGAAAGGTTTCTTTCGAAACAATGTAATTATGTGCTTATTCTCACAGGATATAATATTTTTTTAGAAGCTATAATAATTTGCAATATTTATCGATTTGCGACGAGAAAAAGCAACAATACACTAAAACTCGATCACAGAACTCTTGTTAATTTATCATTTAATTTAGCCCTCCCTTAAGTACTTATAAATAAGACTCAATTTGTTTAATGTACTACTGAGTACTGACTTATTGCAGTTACCATAAACTAAATAAATTATAACGCTTTGCGATTTTAATACTACAAAGATATATTTTTTTTTGTCTATTTTTATCTAAGAGATCTACAGTATTCAACTTTTGTTAAAATATTACACGTGGACTGCCACTCTATTTGTGGGCTGCATCGATTGCCATAGAGAGCTGGCCTTAAAACTAGACCATCAATGCCAATAAAGTGCCATACTATTTGCAATTTCATTGCCAATTAAGTGTCAATATCACTTTGATTCTATCACGGGATCCGTGTACTGTGAATTTTTATACATCGTACGTAATTATGTTTTCTTTTTTTTGCTAAGTAAAATATTTGATACAAGGCGCCGAGTTTGGCTTGGTATTTCAATGTTTCGTTTACTGTCATTTTTCGATTATCGTCGATTTTACATTATTTATGTTTTGAGTTACTGCTTTTTGCAAGTTCTATCGCTACTAACCATGGCGGTTGTCCTGACGAAATGTCCTGTTGTTGAATTTCACCACCATCCACCATCCACGTTGGCTGGCAGTCCACAACCGTGCTCTTCTCGAGAAACTTTCTGCCACGCGCAACCACTATTCGCCATCACCTGATTGCTGGCGCAGTTGCAAGCTATCAGCTTCAGCGCGGGGATTTCCACGCTGGACAAGTATTTGTTATGGCATGTGGATCTTCCAAAACTGGGTATTGGATACCAAAGAGGGTTGATATCAGGCAGGCGGCCGTGCAACTCACAGTAGGGCCATGCACATACTTCTGCTTTTTTAATGATAGAAGTTGCTGAGGGAGCTGGTGGTTCACCTGGTGTTAAGTGATCACCGATCCGGTCTAATACACCCGAAGTGTTGCAGATGCTTTGCCACCTTCTGTGGGCCCCTGTTTATCAACAAACGAAACGCCGAAGTATAACTATATACTTCCACTGCTTAGGTCGTGCTAGTACTCAACATGAGCCTACCCATTCGTGCGTGGCCCTACCACAGATGCAAGAAGCGGCAGGCTCGTCCGAATATCGTTGCCTATATATAACATTTAACATTTGCACACGAACACACACACATTCGCGCTTTATCTAGTGACGACTCAATAACCGGATTAATCCATTGCTGTTTTATCGAGCTGCCTAATTAATAAGGACACACCTCCAGATACGCACGCCCGCGATGATGTAAATCGTCATCGAATTAACGTAGACATAGTTTGTGTAAAAAAATATATATATATATATTTCGAAGATATGTGAAGTCCGCCAACCCGCAGTGGGGCCGCGTGGTGGACTATGCCCTGATACCCTCTCTATAGAGGAGGCTTTTGCCCAGCAGTGGGACATGTATAGGCTGTTACTTTACTTTTTTTTTTTACTTTAGTTTGTTTAAATCCTCATCGTGTTTTTCAACGATAAGGTTTGAGAAACGTCGGAAAATATCGCGTGCAACGATTATAACGCGATAAGAAACGCGGCTATTTGTCTTCTTAAAGTCTGTATCCAAAAACTCGCCTTCAGTGTCGTGCTAGCGGTCCAAAGGCATACATTTATTCTGAAGGTATTAAAATAAATTAACTTGCATGCAACTTGCAATTAATTAACAATACCACACTCACCCCATTCGTTTGGAAAGCGTGTATGTATATCTGTTTCTTTTTATAACGATTGACTACTCTCGGATTTGCGAGAAATTATAGGGATTATTAGGTTTATTTCGTAAAAGTTGGTTCCATTTGAAGGTATTATTTTCTGTGAACACTTCACTTGTGTTCACTTGTCTTTTGTAAAATTTTGTTGTGCTTCTTGCGTTGGCCGATCGTTTTATTCTCGCCTGACGGGATCGTCTTCCTTTGTTGCAGCCACCATGTCCACCTACTTCCAGTACCCGACCCCTGAGGTCCAGGAGGAGCTCAGGAAGATCGCCCAGGCCATAGTCGCCCCCGGCAAGGGAATCCTCGCTGCAGACGAGTCCACGGGTATGTTAAAATTTACTGAACGGTTAATGTAATTTCGCGTTTCTTAATAAACAATTACGGTATCGTTTGCGATGTTCATTCTTAAAAAATTGACGAACCAATTGACAAATTAAATAATTTAATACTATTTAAACATTTTAAACGGCGTCTTCGAGTGAGGCCGTTGATACAAATGCAGACCTCAATAGTAGTGCCGTTTACTTTGTATTGAAATTGGATTCGTAAATGAGCTCCTTAATATTTTTTTTTTTATATAAAAACTTATAAAATTGAAAAACTTTACACGCAAAAAGATTTCACAAAGTTAACGTTTTATTTGTCATTAAGATAACTTGTTTTGAAATTGAGTGAGAAACTGCTCTAGATTATTGTAATCAACATAAAGTAAAAGTTAAGTGTATGAATGATTCTGATTGCTTCAGTGATTTATGGATTTGTTTGTATATCTAGAAACGGTTATAATTTTATTGATGTTCTTTGTAGACGATTATGTAGAGAAATATACATATAAAAACAGAATGAAATCTCTAAAATTAATTTCGATTTAAGATTAAAAACTATTAACACAAACATTAAGTCACTAACGCACACACAAATATTAAGAACAGCACGTACTGTAAGCTTAGTGCTTACCGTAGAAATTTTGGTACCCAGGTACCATGGGCAAGCGTCTGCAGGACATCGGTGTGGAGAACACCGAGGAGAACCGTCGCAAGTATCGCCAGATGCTCTTCAGCACAGACCCCGTAAGTGGCTTTTGTGAACCCCACGCGTTGAAACCCTTCTCCATGTAACCGCGCGCAACATTCTTCGCTTTTGCACGAATGGGCAGGTCCGTCCGGGTAAATATCACGACGTCCTAGAAGGCGCGAAGCAGAAGCGTCACACGTTTGCGTTTCGTCTGGTGTATGAAGTAGCCGGGGCCCACTTTATTAAAAGGTGGCAACGCATCTGCAACCCTGCGGGTGTTGCAAATGTCAATGGGCGGCGGTTATCATTTAACATCAGCTGAACCGCCAGCCCGTTTGCCACCTTCTCGCATAAAAAGACGACCGTCATGGCTGGTACTATCGACATATCCCCCTGTTTTATTCTTCAAACCTGTTTTAGTTGTTATAGATTTGTTTACTGCCAACAGCATGCTTGCTGCGTTTTTATTCTTTTTTTAACAGTTTACCGTTGAACCACTCGTCCAAAAGATCAAAACGTGTAATCCGTTTTGTTTTTATGAAACTTAACAGGTGGTCGGGTTGGTGTTTTGCACTGGGCAAATGTGACAGGCGATTTTGCGCTTATATGTTAGAAAAACATAACGTGACGAGTTGTAATTTTTCGCAAAAAGTAATGTCACATAGTGCTATCTAAAAGGCATTTCCAACAAAACCGGCCAAATGCATAAAGATAGATAGGATGTCGATATTTTCGCTAATAGAGGATATAGGTCCCTTAGATAAGTGGTTATTATTTTGGTTTTGTTTTTTGCCCACTAAAAATGTTTTACATTCCAAAAGGCCGTCTCAGAGAACATCTCGGGCGTGATCCTGTTCCACGAGACCTTATACCAGAAGGCGGACGACGGCACTCCCCTGGTGTCGCTGCTGGAGAAGCGTGGCATCATCCCCGGCATCAAGGTCGACAAGGGTGTTGTGCCACTCTTCGGCTCCGAAGACGAGTGCACCACTCAGGGTAAGTTTTGACTACCCCATTGACATAGCGGATAGTGAAGACCGGTGTGAATTAGAAGTTATAACGGTGGTAGGGTCACGCGGCAGCCTCGGCTGTTGCCCGAATGGGCAGGCTCGTCCGGGTAAGTACCACAACCTCACAGAAGACCGGCGTAAAGTGGAAGTATGACAAATAATTTCACGTTTCGTCTGGTGAGTGAGGTGGCCGGAGCCAATTTTCAAAAGTTTGTCAACGCATCTGAAACCCTCGGCTCGGGTGTAGTAGATGTCCATGGGCGGCGCTATTCACTTAACATCAGGTGAACCGTCAGCTACATAGGGTCACAGATGCGTTGCCACCTCTTAATAAAGCGGGCCCCGGCTACCTCACTCACAAGGCAAAACGGAGAAGTGCAACACTTCTACTTCACACCGGTAAATGTATCAAAGAATATCGCCATATAACAGTATTCATATCTCTGCCTTTTCTGCTGGTGAGTGAGGTAACCGGTAAATAAGCCTCCGATAATACCTGCTTAAATGCCTACCGAAATCACTAATAGATGGAGCTGAACTCAATAAACACCGAAAGCCACTAGCTAGGTATAGTAAAGTTGTAATTTATGATGCTGGTATTATTCTAAAAGCATCGGTACAGTCTACGACGCGTCCCACTAATGGTGGTGACTATTTCGTATGCCACGTGTTTCGAAGTGCTGCTTCTTCACGACCTTCAACCATCGCGTCTCATTCGTTACAATCTTATACAATGTCACTTTATTTTCGTACACGACCGCTCTGAGTACGTTCAGAGGTCAAATGGAGGTCACACGTAATCAGCCGATTTGCTGTACAAGTGGCACCACGTCTATCTAAGAGTAATAGCATATTTTCTATCTATGCCTCCGTTTTATCGTATCAAACGCCTTATTTATAGAAAGTTTTTTTAAGTTTTATATTTACTTATGCTGAACTGCTTATCGTAAAAACGCACTACGGTATTGACAACAGAACAACGAAGTTTTATTTTCCATTATTAATGAAAGGTCTTACTTAGGGTTAATTAAATATAAGATAAATTTAAATTACGACCTTCATGAATTATCGTCGGATTATTACGAAACAGCGTATAGGAATAGCTTGACATTGTCACTTGTGAAGATTCTGTTATATTACCACGAATATTAATATTCTTGAACTGACGGAAAACGGGGTTATAACACTGACACCAGGATGTTAAACATTTCACGCCCGGTTTCTCAAACACTGATCATCGTAGAAGTTAACTAATCAGCTTTGCCAAAAGGGGTGGTTAAACTATTTGAATTGATCATTCGGTTTTCTATTTTTTAACCTTAATTTTCGTGGATATACACTGAAATGACATTTAAAAAACCATTTGACAGCTGATTAGTTTACTGCTACGATGATCATTGTTTCAGAAACCGGGAGTTTGAATTATAATAAACTGGGGTAAAATCCCATTTATAAAATTAAAACCTATCATATGCGACTTGATGCTAACTCTGCAAAGGTTTTATAATATAATTCTACGTCATCTGTGGCGCGATTTAAAGCGCTTCGGTGCTCATGACGTGTGCAATTCCACGGCCTTTATAACGGATTGGTATGCAAATATTAGAAAATGTTATAACGTAACACATTACGACCTACCGACATTGTGTGAAACGGAGTAGTCACGAACTGAAAACTAATCACCAATAGGAGGCGCCAACCAAAATCATCGATCATCATCATCCTCATTAGCGGATTGATAAACAACGACGCCATTTCGCTAATGGTCATGTAGTTTTGCATTTTAAATAATCACAGCCGTCCAAGAAAAGAAAGGACAAATTACAAGGTTCTCTTAAATTTGGTATCGGTTAAATTCTTTATGGTGCACCTAAGATGAAACATTAAAATTTGTAGTAAGAGTACGGGATTAGTACTATAAAAAACATATCGACATCTCTCGTTCGAATTATCGTTTTAAAACATTATTCGAAATTGTTTGTATAGTGGAAAGGATTGCTTCAAATGCTAAAAACAATGTAGACAAAAGATGTTGAGATCTTCGTAGGGATGGCAAGCAGCCGTTTAGTTTAGCTGTTGATGACTCCGTGGCGTGCCAAGGTGTTGACTTCGGCGACGGGGGTCGTGGGTTCGATTCCCACTATAGTAAAATAAAATATCTTTATTCACATAGACGCTTGCACGTTCTTATAAAACGTCGAAATTTTACAAGGAAATTAATACATATATAACATACCACATCGCGTCGGGGCCGTGGTGACACGTTGGAAATACCGAGGTTTAGACTAGCTTAAACCAGGAAATCGTTTCTTGGTAGATGTATTAACTTATATAATAGAATAGGTGACATCCACAAACAATTAAGTTTAAATAATTTCAAACATTTTGTAAAAGCCACCTTAATGGAAAGGGCTTATTGTAATGTCGAGGAATACATTGAGGACAAGGATGTGTGGAAATGACTCTTGCTCTGCACTTGCAAGTCCCCTGGCTCCTGCTAAATTATAATAGAAAATTTTGTGTATATACTTAAATACTTTAAAAAAAAATATACATATAACCGCAGAGTTTCTTGCCGGTTCTCCTCTTGCAGGTCTAGTTTAGTGAACCGGTGGTAGTTTTTGACGTTCAATAAGAGCTTAAAATAAGCCTATGTTGAATAAAGAAACTTTGACTTTGAATACGTTCGTAAGTTACCACCGGTTCGGAAAGCAGTTTCTGTTAAGAAGAAACCGGCAAGAAACTCGACAGTAGCTCTTTTAAAAACGATTAGTTTACAATATAATGTTACAGGTATAATAGTCTTGTTTTAGCCTACGTGAGTAACAACAGTATTAATTAACCCCACACATTGGCGTCGTCAAGATATTCAGCAATATTATAATATGCTTTAGCCATAAGTTTACTTTTAACTTTTCGTTAAATTCATCAAGTGGCAGACTTAATATCGACTGTGGGCTTATACACACTGGTACAACTATTTATGTGACTCGCAGAAAATGCTTCCGGATCTAATTGTTTGTCGCACTTACAACACAGGATAATGTTATCCTACAATAAGAGCAATATTTTAAAAAAAAATCACCCACTTTATTACTGCTCGGGGGATTTTTCCACATTTTGTGCACTTGACATTAGCATGGTCAGATATAATCTGTCTATCTCGCGTAATTTCCCCCAAAGTTTTTAGTCTACAAACACTTGAAGCATTCAAGCACTATAAGCCTCATTATTCTTTAAAAGCACTCGACACTACCTTAACTGCGTAACCAATTCACTTCGTCGTATCGCCATAGCGGCTTGACAATGTCACCGCCTCAGATAAAGATGTCAAAGACGATCTGTGAACAAACAAACCGCCGAACCGACCTTAAAGTATCATTGTATTGATACCATAACATAGGATATATAATATAAATATAATTCATACTTGCGGTTAAGATAATTTTATACAGGATAGGGTGTCTAATGATAAATTTATATTGACATTATACAATGATTCTTCTTTTAATTTAAATGTAATGTTATAAAAATATTGAATTTTCGAAGACAAAAGTACATTTTAGACTGTAATATTCATTGAACAATACGGACATGATAAGAAATATAATGTAATTTCCTTATTTCTAGCCTGCTTATTTAACATTTGATATGGATCAAAAATTAGACTTTACGTTAAAGCTTTAGTTATCGAGATCCAGGAAAACGATCAGTCTGTTTTTTTCCATTAATAATACCAACGTTCAATTAACCTGTAAGAACTTAAATGTTATCGGAACATTCGAACTGGTGCAAAGCGATTGAACAAAAGTTATTTTTCTGATATCAGACAATTCAAGCAGCGAAAGGTTGCTCTTGCTAATATAGTATTGTGGCGTATGTATGTATTCATAACAGCGTGCAAATGAAATTTAACCCTATTGCTATAGCATGTAAACTTAAACTTAAGTCAAATAGCCCCATGTTAGTAGATGATACTAAATTTCCATTCGATAACTGATATAGTCTGTTTAATAATGCATATCGGAGACCGGCTGGTCGATTTCGTCAGTGTTAGGTCAAGTTTAAAGTCCGACGACCGTATTTGATCTTTAATATATAAGCACAGAGGTAGATACTGTCCTATTATCAAGTATTTTGAGCAAACAACCAATTGTCGTTGCTGGGGCAAAGTAACTAATTGTGACTAAGTCAGTTAACAGTTCCATATTGTGTTTAAGTATTTATGAATGCAACAAATAATAATATAAAGCGGCAATAATTTTAGAAAGGCAAAGCATAACTATTTTTCATTCTTTATTATTGCTTTGTTCATAATTTGAACACCTTTTAAACGTATTATCCGAATTATACTAATACGTCTGACCACCCTGATGACAAAATACACGAATAAGCAAATATGTTTATATCGTCATCCGCGTTATTAATAGACAATTGTTCTACCTTGTAGACGTCGACAACTTTAGGCATAATAGAAGTGTTACTTTTTACTTTTTTATGTGAGAAGGTGGCAAGCCACCTTCTTTTGGTTTGGTTTGCTGATGCCATGCCGCCTTTTAATAAACTGGGCCCAGTTACCTCAGTCCAGACGAAACGAAGAAGTATATCACTTGCACTTCACGCCTCTCTTCTTTGCGGTTATGGTACTTCCCTTTTCAAGCTTTCTGAATAAACAAACAAACAATATGCAGTGTTATTTTACGGGTTTTTAATGCATTTTATTCTAATTTCCAACTTCGCAGTAATTCTGCATTGAAGGTCACCAAGGGTCATCATGGAGTTTGTAGAACAATGGACGAAAAGTTTTTCGCCGCCGCGAGAATCGGGGTCCGATTCCGAATCCATGGTGGTCTTTAGGAATCGCGCCCAGACGCTTTACCCACTAAGCTAAACGGCTGATTGCCACGCATCGAAAATCTCAACGTGTTTTACATTTGTTTGTGTTTGTCTACAGCACCCAGACGATAAAATAACGTTTTACAAAGATTATTCTAACGTGTCGCCATTGCTATTGAAATTTGAATGTTACACTAAGTTTTTCTAGCGTCAATCCCTTCAAATAAGACGAAACCCTGAATACTTATGTAAACTTTAAAATGTCCTCGGAACTCTTTTCTCGTGAAGCTTGGTCCGTAGTCGATCACATAAGCGTTTCATCCCTTTTTTTCCATTCTTCCTCCACCAGGCCTCGACGACCTGGCCCAGCGGTGCGCCCAGTACAAGAAGGACGGCTGCCACTTCGCCAAGTGGCGGTGCGTGCTCAAGATCGGCCGCAACACGCCCTCCTACCAGGCGATCATGGAGAACGCGAACGTGCTCGCCAGATACGCCTCCATCTGCCAGAGCCAGCGCATCGTGCCCATCGTCGAGCCGGAGGTGTTGCCCGACGGTGAGCCACTCCACTGAGACAGTTAGCTATTAACCACCCCCCCCCCCCCCCCCCCCCCCCCCCCCCCCCCCCCCCCCCCCCAGCTAAGACAGTTGGCTATTAATCATCCCCCCTGAGCTAAGACAGTTGGCTATTAATCATCCCCCCCTGAGCTAAGACAGTTGGCTATTAATCATCCCCCCCCCCCCCCCCCCCTAAGACAGTTTGCTATTAACCACCCCCGTACACGCCTTTGCCCAGCAGTGTGATGTGTATAGGGATGTTACTTTACTTCACTAAGTGATGATGGTATACTTTGCCCATTGCGTGCGCAGGTGAACACGACTTGGACCGCGCCCAGAAGGTGACGGAGGTGGTTCTTGCTGCGGTGTACAAGGCCCTCAATGATCACCACGTGTACCTCGAGGGTACACTCCTCAAGCCCAACATGGTGAGTATCTAGGCGTTAATCGATAACCGGCATTTGCATCAACCATTTTTCAATACACATATTCTGGTGAGTGAGGTAGCCGGGGCCCACTTTATCATGAGGTAGCAACGCATCTGCAACCCTACGGGTTTTGCAAATGTCCTCGGGTGGCGGTTGTCTCCAACCATCGGGTCAACCGTCAGCTCGTTTGCCACCTTCTCACATAAAAAAGGCGAGGGCCAGTAGTGACAAGCCCGAGTTGAAAGTGTACAACTTGACTTTGACTTTCACTCCACTTTGCAGGTGACCGCTGGCCAATCTTGCAAGAAGACCTACACCCCAATGGACATCGGACGCGCGACCGTCACAGCTCTGCTCAGAACCGTTCCAGCTGCCGTTCCCGGTAAGAACTTGGCCGTCGTTAACTTTCTTTTTTTACTTTACTTTTTACTTTTTTTACTTTTTCTTAACGTGAAAAGTTGTCAAACAAACAGGCGGTTCACGGTGGATCACCATGAAGTCGGTGTCGCGCATAGTAAAAATTCACTCGTCATTTATCGGGCCGAAAGAAGTATAATTTCAAATAATCATAAAAAACCGGCCATGTACGAATAAGACTTGCGCAAGAAGGATTTCGTACCATTGTCTATAAAAAGTACAAAAAAATCATAACTGTTGTATGGGAGCCCTACTACAAAAAAAAATATATATAATATTTATTTGTTTTATAGTACTTGTTATTACAGCGGCAACAGAAATACATCATTTGTGAAAATTTTAACTGTCTAACTATCACAATTCATGAGATACAGCCTGCTGACAGACGGACAGACATACAAACAGATAGGGGAGTCTTAGTAATAGGATCCCGTTTTACCCTTTGGGTAAGGAAACCTAATAGTCTTATTTTAACTTGCGCGATCATCAACATTGTTAATCCCGCACATTGGCGTCGTCGAGATATTCCGCAATGGTATGATATGCTTTAGCCCTAATTATGTTTACTTTTTTTTTAAATGATCCCTTCTCCCCGCTCAGGCGTGACCTTCCTCTCCGGCGGGCAGTCCGAGGAGGAGGCGTCCGTGAACCTGAACGCGATCAACACGGTGGACCTGAAGCGGCCGTGGGCGCTCACGTTCAGCTACGGGCGGGCGCTGCAGGCGTCCGTGCTGCGCGCGTGGGGCGGCAAGCCGGAGAACGAGCCCGCCGGCCAGCAGGAGCTGCTCAAGCGCGCCAAGGTGAGGCCCGGCCGGGGTGACCATTATAGCGCTGGTGTCGGGCCCGTAGGATAGCGCTGGGGTGTCCCCTGCCCGGGGGCGGCTGGGCTGACCATGTATAGCCCTGGTTCCCGGGCCCGTAGGATAGCGCCGGGGTGTCGCCTGGCCGTAGTAAAAGGTCCTCGAGCTGTAGCAAGACGGGAGTCGGGGAAGGTCTACCCTTCCCCGAGGCATGCTCACGCCCAGTATCGACGGACACCGGTGGCCTCACGTAACCTTGTCATGTGAGAAATGACCGGGTCTCCTTTGAAGGTTTCCCACCGGATACCACAAAAATGGTGATCGAGCATAGCCATAGTCTCGCTCGTCGGATAGGGCTAGGGTATATCTCGCCTGTCGTAAAAGGCTAGAAGGGGACACGGATTGGCAGCAGCAAGGAGTGGCCACGAGCTGCTGCAAGACGGCGGGTGGGTCGGGGAAGGTTTACCCTCTCCGAGGCGTGCTCGTCAGCCAGTAACAAGGGACACAGGTGCTTTCCGTAAGAGATTCCTCCAAAAGCACAGAAGACGGTCACCGAAGGGGCTTTTGTGGGTAAGAACCCCACGTAACCCTGTCATGTAAGATGACAGGGTTTCCTTTGAAGATTTCCCCCGACACCAAAAAAAGGGTGACCACGAATAGCCCTGGTCTCGGGCCCGTCGGATAGGGCTGGGGTGTCCCCTGCCCGTCGTAAAAGGGAGCTGTTGCAAGACGGTGAGGGAGTCGGGGAAAGTTTATCCCTTTCTGAGGCACTCCGCAACCACTTTTTGGCACATCCAAAAGGTGGCCATCCACTGGGTTTTAGTGGGTACAAACGCCACATAACCCTGTCATGAGGTACCTCGATACTACAAATTGCTGACCATGCATTAGTGCAGGGATGCCTGTGTAATATTGCCAGATTTTTCGGAAAAATGCCTATCTAAAATTGAAAAATGCTGCGGTAGGTAATAAAATCATATCAAGTTGGAGGTCGAGGTGTAGAACTATCTCGTGGCACCTTGGGAAGACCAAAATTGCGTCCGTAACGTCTATACCTAGTAACAACTGACCTTTCTTTTATGTAAGAAGATTGCAAGCTGGCGGTTCACCTGATGTTAAGTGATAACCGCCGTCATGGACATTCGCAACACCCGTGGGGTTTTGCAGATGCGTCGTCAGCTTTTAATGAAGTGGACCCCGTGGCTACCTAACTCATCAGACGAAACGCAGAAGTATAAAACTTCCCACTTCATACCGGTCCTCTGTGACATCGAGGTACTTACCCGGAATGTAGAACTTGATTTCACCATCCAAATCTTAGATATGTTATTTGCCGTTCTAACGGCGTTCTAGTATATGATACGCAGTAAAAAATCCAAGGATTAGAAATATTTTACAGACCCGGTAAAATTGACATAAATATAAAAATATTTTATTGACGCCTTTATAAAGTTCTCACATGAAACAGAAATTTAATTTTTTATTAATAATTATAATAAAACTTTTTATTTCATTATAATTAAACTACCATTTTATAACAACTAATATAATATAATATAACAATTTATTCATGCAACCAACATAAAATGAAAACAATTTATAATCACATTTATAAAATTGGAAGAGGTAAGGTACGATATTTTGATCTCTCGACTCCAGAAGTCAGTGCCCTTCACATTTTGAACTATTACAGTTATTTCACAACTACTACAGTTATTTTATAGTAATGTGTTTTATTATGTACGCAATTGATTTAACTACAACACATTATAGCACTCGGGCGATAAGTACTGCACATCTGCTAATTTCGACTTGGTAAAGCGTTATCACGAAACACTAATACAGAGACAATGTGTATGTGCGTGCGTGCGTGCGTGCGTGCGTGCGTGCGTGCGTGCGTGCGTGCGTGCGTGCGTGCGTGCGTGCGTGCGTGCGTGCGTGCGTGCGTGCGTGCGTGTGTGTGTGTGTGTGTTTTTTCCTTAGATCTGGTATTTGAACTGTTGTTCACACTATAATTTCAGATATAACATGTGCCACCGAAAAATTTCACAAATTAGTTTGTTTTGCATGCTATTACTATTTAGTTGTACATTAGTAGCTAGGCTATTTGTATCGTAGAACAGTAGATTAGATCGCTTCCTGTGTTTTGTTCTGCTTGTTGTAATTACACTGTATGTTACTAATTTTCTCGTATCACGGCATGACATTTTCACGGCCCTCTAGAAATTGCAAAGTATTATTTTTAAACTGTATTCATATATAAATTTCAATAGTCTATCAAAGCAATTAATCTAATATATAAAATTCTCTTGTCACGTTGTTTGTAATTGAACTCCTCCGAACGGCTCGACCGATTTTCGTCAAATTTTGTGTGCATATCGGCCAGGGTGGAGAATCGGACAACATCTATTTTTCATCCCCCTAAATGTTAAGGGTGGTCCACTCCAAACATTTTTTATTTTCTACCCTAAGAATAATTTATGTGGCAAAACGTTTTGGCGGGTCAGTTAGTAACATATAACCGTTATTAAGATTTCAGTCTTGTTACATTTTTCTCACACTAGTTTATAGATGTTACATTATTTTAATTAGGGTATAATTTTATGTTAATAAAGCTGTGTTCACCTGCAATTGTTGGAACATTTACGATTTTTTTTTTACTTTTATAATTATTTTGCATGCTTAATTAGTCCAACATTGGTGAACCTTAATAAATAAATAGATTGAGAAAATCACGCTCTTAGCTAAGAATAGGGTAGTGAAAATATCTTGCCAAATTGTTCGCTATTTTCGCATCGTTGAGCTTATGCCAACTGCCAGTGATTACCCTCTTGGCATCGATCGCAGGCGAACGGGCTCGCTGTCACCGGGAAGTACGTCGCGGGTTCGATTCCGTCCCTCGCCGCCTCCAAATCAAACTTCGTCAAAGCGCACGCTTACTAGATTTTACACCGCATTGCAAGTTTCGCCGATGTATCTTTAATTTTTGACTTTACGCTGCATTTCATGAATTGATGTCTTGCTTAGATTTGTAGGCTAAGTGATATTATATTGTGTCCTCGCAGAACATAACTTTGATTTTATTTATATCGTATTTGCAAGATTTGTTCTGATAAATCTAACTTTAAAAAAGTAACTTATCTTGTATTATACGAAATTGCCTGAGATAATATTTAATCCAAAGTGTATACGGGAACATAATTTTACCTTTCTCTTTTACTCCGTTGATGTTAATGTTAAATTCATTTGGTAACTTTTGTTTCTTTTGTTTTTTTTTTATTAAAATATAATCTTTCTTCATTTTTGCAGACGAAATTTTCCCTAATTATGATACGTGTTTCTATTAAGGTTCATTATTAATTTTATATAAATAATCAACGATAATCGCTAAGTGTAATTCCAATATTAGTTATTGTTATTCCATAACCCGCAAGGTAAGTGAAGCTTATAGCTCTCAGCATTGTGTTAACATTTATCCTTCACTATAGATCATTTATTGACTTTTAATTTATTGCTTTATTTTACTACCAAAAAAATCTAACCTGATCCTTATTTTGTTAGGGTTAAGATATAAATTCCAATATTTGCTTGTTAATAAGACTGAATTACGGACAAAAGTCAATGAATGCACTGCCTATTGTTGTTGTTTCTACTAATTTTATTATGTTTCTGTACTAACCTTCTTTTTTTTTATTAAATAAATAGAAACGATCTGTGTGTTTTTATTGCGCTTTCAATGTCTCACTAATCGTATTTTCCTGGCATGGTAGAGTAGAAGTAGATGCAGTAGAAACTAGAACGTATGAAATTGGCACATGGTTATATAAGTTCCTATCAGAGTGCTCCTTTATAAAGGATTCCCGTACAAGATAATAATCTTTGTTAATAATTGTAAATAAAACTGAATAAAACTCTTTGATGACTATGTGGCTCAGTTGCCAAGGTATTTGGTCCAAGGTCGGGGGTCGTGGGTTCGATCCCCACACGGGACAACTATTTGTGTGACCCACAGATAGTTGTTTCGCATCTGGGTGTTTGTCCACGTGAAATTTATGTTTGTGAACGTCCTCACAACACGGTATAATATTATCTTAAAGGAAGGTGAACGTTTTTTAAAATAAAAAATTTCTGCACATATCTGGAAATAATTTTTTTATAGTTAGTAGTAAAAAAGTAAAGTATCAGCCTATACATGTCCCACTGCTGGGCATAGGCCTCCTCTATACAGAGGGTATCAGGGCATAGTCCACCACGCGGCCCCACTGCGGATTGGCGGACTTCACATATTTTCGAAATATATATATTTTTTGTTATTATTTCGAAAATATGCAGGTTTCCTCACGATGTTTATCCTTCATCGCTGAGCACGTGATAATTCAGCACTTAAAATTGACAATTTCATTGGTGCCGGCACCGGGGATCGAACTCAGGTTGCTCGAGTATATTGAATTAAAGGCGAGCGCCCGGACACTGAGCTATCACGGCTCCTAAACATATCCACTATTAGCTAATAGTTAAAAAAGTCTGCGAATTGCGGTTCTCTAAAAATAAAATTGATCATGCCTTAAAAATTTATTGTAATGACGTCTTTGGCATAACTCCAGGAAACATCCAAATATCTAACTTAAGAAAGCTGCATCTATCTGCAAATATCCATATATCGTTATAATCAATCTATATGAACTAAACTGAAACGGATTTAGGTTCAGTGCCCTGAGACTATTGGACGCCCTTTTATATATGCAAATACATTAAAAGTAAAGTAAAATAACAGCCTATATAAGCCTCACTGTTGGATAATGGCCTCCTCTGTACAGACACCTGTGCACAAAATGAGAAGCGAGCGTTACCACAATAATGGTTTAATGTATAACATATGTACTTAAATATATGTTTTTCGTACTAAGATGAAAATAAAATAAAGGAATCTGTAAGTCACTTTTAATTGAAAAGTAATTCTTAATTAGATGAATCATGTAATATATTTGGTTCCATACTGAAATCATTAAACTAATTGTGCCTTAAAATCTATTCAGTGCATAATCCTATCTTGCTTGATACCTGCACGTAAATAATTTTTCACTCTTTCGGGACGGAGAACTGCCTTCAGTCAGAAAGATTCGTTTGCAGGAGTAATTAGAAAAACAACCAAAGCAATATCTACATTTGGATAGATGTCGCAGAGATCACGTAGAGTTATTTTTGGTTTTCGTGCATATTAATGATTCTTCTAAATATGCTGGGTATTTTGTGTTAATTTATCCTTGTTTTTCAATTTTCTAAAATGCAATTTAACACTTTTTTTTTTCTAAAATGTCTAAGTTCCTGCTAAATTTAGTGTGGGTGCCGCTCAAGTTACCTATCTATAGAAAATTTGTAAATATTCCAGGTATATTACTTGTATTACCGCAATATTCGCCATGACAGTTAATTATGTTAAAATCATTCTATCACAAAATTTTAATATAGCATCCGCAATATATTTAGCTCTGTGGCCTGTATTCGGTACAAATCCTATAAAATCGGTATGGATTTTCCTTATGTCCATCCTTTTCAAGATTCTCTAAAGACCTTTTAAAAACAATCTTCAGGGTCATCTTTGTAAAATGCGTCTCATTACATAAAATTATTGTACGAGATAAAGAAAATATCAAAGCTTGAGTGATTTGCCAAGGGTAATGTTAAATATGGTGAATTAATGTTTTTTTTTAATAACAATAAAAACTTGAAACACATAACAATATCTCAATTTCAAATTTATTTTAATACATATTTGTTAGATTCTCTAAGTTTTAGTACGGTACCTGCACTTATTATTTATTTTAAGAAAATAACTCTACCCTTTACCTAGACATTGTAAAATCAGAGATGCAAATGAAATTTAATCAATTAACATGTTTGAAAGTCTGCCGTAAAACGTGTTAACGTTAACTATCTGTTTATCTTTATTTATTTTACGCAATGGGTAACAGAGACAACGCTGGGTGGAAAATATTTATTTTAAAATGAAAAAGAAATGAAAATATGTTTGTTTATGGACGTACTGAATTACAGTTAAGTATATTGCGTGTTGGCACCACACAAGGCAAAGCCTGTCCTGAAATATCGCTTTATATTAAAACTGCTTCACTTTTGACTATTTATATTTTTTACTAATTTGTAATCTTATTTTAACAAAATTTTATATCATTATTTAAAAAAATAATTTTATTCTCGAAAAAATTGTTATTTCATAGTCTTCTGATGGGTTTCGATAAACACTACTAGATGTTTTGACAAATAAGAGCTGCCAACACTGCAACTGAGTCGAGCTTGATCTTCGTATCATTTGACCAAGAGAAAATTCAAGTGGCAATGGTAATAAGAAGCTTTCAGAAAGCCTATTCATAACTTTATTTCTCTCCTTTCAGGCTAACGGCCAGGCGTCCCAGGGCAAATACGTGGCTGGATCCGTCACAGGTGTGGGCGCTGAGGCCGGTCTATTCGTTGCTAACCACGCATACTAAACGCCGCACCACACACAATTTTTCCCATTTTTTTCCACCACGCCTCAATGCCTAAACGCGTTGACTCAAAACATCACTACAAGAAAGTAAAAAAAAATGGCCGACGACAATTTGACGTTTACAATGTCAATTCTTCTAAAGCACGAAATTTAAATGTCAAAATAATACGCATATTGAACCAAATATACTGACACGAGATTACGTATCAAAAATTATATTTTAGCAAAATTGTGTGGTATAAATTTAATAGATCATATTGTTGTAGGAGCAAAATTAATGGAATGTTCTTTGGAATTTTAGACAGTTTTTCGCGTATTTGTGTAGTAGTTGCTTCGTGTGTTGGTATAGAAAAACGCCGTAAGTGTTGCTAGTTCAGAAAGTATTTAAGAAGTACCTATATAGTTCTTTCTTTATGAAATGTACAGTAAATTTTTATTTTACAATCGGTAAAGTAAACGAACAGATATATTAGTATTGGAATATAGAGATTTTACTATTATTTAATTAATTATTTAATTTTTTTCTAAGTAATCGTATTTTGATATTTAAGAATGAATAAATAACTAAACACGTATTTAGTGTGTTTTATTGTTATATTTTTCCTCTTAATCGAATTGGGCAGTAACTGTAGAACATAATAGTCTGCCAAAATTATGTGCTTTACATCTTTTGACAACCACTTCCAGTAAGTTTGGCTTAGACTTAAGACTTAAATAGAATACTGACAAGATATTATAATATATGCATCTTAATAGCATTTTAATTATATCCCTTTAGCTTAAAGTTCAGTAATTTTTAACTCATTACATAAAGAAGAATACTTTATGTAATGAGTTAAAAATTACTGAACTTTAAGTAGTAAAAAATGTAGTAAAACTGGTTGATCGTAGTTAAAATTTAATAAATAAGTGATATCATTGTATATTCAGAAAAGCGAGGGACAGACAGCCTTTGGGAGTTTTATTGCCTACTTTTCAATTTTCAACTCTACCTATATTGAACAATTTCCCTCAAGACGGACATATGCGTTGTTCCTTTAGCCTACTAAATTGATTCAATTGAGGAGACTATAGGAACAACGCATTCACCGATTCCAAGCGGAATCTTACTCTGTTGTCGGATGTCGCTAGATTGCTTTTTAAAGGTTTTATTGCCAGATAAATGCCCCCAAAAATCAAATGTCTTTGTTTACAAAAAAACAGAGTATATGTAACATGCAATAACTACTTAATTTCAAGAAAATAACTATTTAACTTATCAATTATTGCGATATCTCACCACAAACATTTCTAATTCATTTATTGGTAGTGACATTTCCTTAGATAAAGCGTTTTATACATTATTTTCGCTGTCACTTCTAATCGAAATGTAATAATAGTGTATGTATCTATTACAAGATATATTTAAAGTATCATATTGTAACTAAAGTCTAGGTCTTGTAGTTTAATGCACGGTTTTCTACCTCAAGGTGATAAGCAACTATATGGTCGACTAAAATAATTATTGTAAATAATTATTTTAAAAATAATTATATAAATAATTATTTTAAAAATAATTATATAAATAATTATTTTCTTTAATTTTACTATTGGTAAAATTAACATTGTTATTGTTGTTTTTATAAACCTATTTTTTATTTTTACACCTATACTTAGGTACTTGTCTGTAAAATTATTGTAAGTTTTATAGCGCCATCTATCGCAAGACGTACTAAACGTTTTCATAACTGTAATGCAAGAAAATCAAGCGTAAAAATATCCGTTTAACTCAACAGATGACGTATTTCTTGCATCATAAACTATAAATTAATAAAAAAATATTCCTATATCATAAAAATAGCATATGGAAAAACCGGTAGTAGAGCCTCGCAGCAGCCTCGGCTGTTGCACGATTGGGCAGGCTCGTCCGGGTAAGTGCCACGACCTCACAGAAGACCGGCGTAAAGTGGAAGTATGAGAAATACTTTCGCGTTTCGTCTGGTGAGTGAGGTAGCCGGAGCCCAATTTCCAAAAAGGTTGTCAACGAATCTGCAAACCCTGGGGTGTAGCAGATGTCATCATGGGCCGCGGTATTCACTTAACATCAGGTGAACCGTCTGCTCGTTTGGCAACTTTTCACATAAAAAAAATATAGAAAACCCGAAAATTCCAACTATTGGCCATGCTATTTAATATCCATGTATAATTTCAATTTATCTCGCGCGGGACAAGAATCTGATAGACACGGAAACTTGTATACTTAACAAAAAAAAATCAAGCTGCACCGATTATTTAAGTAATAAGAACGCATTTTGGTATGTGAACTTTAATCTAAAAAGTCAAATCGCAACATTGTTATTGGAAAACGTATATTAATCGCGACATTTACCGTGAAGGGTCTGGAGCATTGGACCGGGGTAGCAGCGAAATCGCTTAGTTCGCGACCCCGATTCTCCGCTCGACATAGGGTTGACGCATCTAGGCCAAAATTGATCCTCGTTTGCATTTCCCGTGCTGGTTTCAGGGCTGCGCGTTTCCGCGTAAGCGTCACGGAGCTTACAAGTTTGAATCGGAATCATAGCGCATTAGCCTGACGTTCTCTGAATGTTTAATGTTCACTGCTATCGATTATACAGGGTGTTACAGGTAATACCCTGTATATATACTTTTTTAATTAAATAAACTAAAAAATATACGTAATCAACGTTCAGTGTCACTCAGTGGAATGTACTATACACTTCGTTTTCTACTTTCTCCTGTCCTTATTCCTCAAGGTGGTTCAATTATACAGGGTGATTTTTTAGACGAAGTACACATTTTGACATAATGTTAATTGAGCATGCATAATTCGAAAAAAATAATATTAATATTTAATTTTAACAAGAAATAAGCAGAAAAATATCAATTCAGACATTGTTTGTTTATCCCGTTAAGTTAGGTCACCCTATTGATAAGCCGAACAGTTTTAGTGCTCGTGAATAGGTTATTGTATTGTGCCGGTAACGCAGGAATTTTTATTTGGGTGTTCATAATGTTTCAAAAAATTAGTCATTTAAAAGTTTGACATTTAAAATTGAGTCCACTGCTGAACATAGGCCTCCCCCACAGACTGCCATGAAGCACGATCCTGAGCCACCTGCATCCGTCGACTTCCCGCACATTTGCACAGGTCGTCACTCCATCTAGTGGGGGGTCGTCCTACACTGCGATGGCCAGTATGAGGCTGCCACTCGAGAACCTTTCTTCCCCAACGGTTATCGGTTCTACGACCTATATGGCCGGCCCATCGCCACTTCAGCTTGCTAATCCTCTGAGCTATATCGGTTATCTTAGTTCTACTGCGGATGTCTTCGTTACGAACTCTATCATGCAGAGAAATACCGAGCATAGCCCGCTCCATAGCTCGCTGAGCGACTTTGTTCTTCCTCATACGGCCAGCGGTGAAGGACCACGTCTCGGTTCCGTAGGTCATCACTGGCAACACACATTGATTGAAGACTTTAGTCTTCAAGCATTGAGGTATATTCGACGAGAAAATTTGCCGAAGTTTCCCGAACGCTGCCCATCCGAGTTGGATTCGCCGATTGACCTCTGCGTCGAAGTTGGACTTACCTAGCCGGACTAACTGTCCTAGGTAAACGTACTCGTCAACTTCGAGCTCAGTGCTCCCAATAACAACCGGTATAGGCGTGACATGGACATTGGACATGATCTTCGTCTTGTCCATGTTCATCTTAAGGCCCACCCGTTGGGAGACACTGTTGAGGTCATTGAGCATAGCACCCAGGTCCTCCAGCGTTTCTGCCATGATGACTATATCGTCGGCAAATCGAAGGTGGGTGATGTATTCGCCATTGATACCTCGTCCTTTCCAGTCCAGAAGCTTAAAAACATCTTCCAACGCAGCGGTGAAGAGTTTCGGGGATATGACATCACCCTGTCTTACACCCTTCTGCAGTTGGATAGGTTTTGTACTACTGGACTGTACTTGGACGGACATCGTAGCCTTGTTACTTATATTCATACTTATACTTTTGCATAATTTCAAGCGACCGACTTGTAAATTTTTACTGTATAATTTGCTTGCTAACTCGTTTCTGTGAAAAATTCAAGTATCTAATAGTTAATCAACTACTAGATTTGTAACTAAGAATGAATGTAGTACGGAATATAAAAAAGACCGATAAGTTTTGAGCAATTTACTCGAACCTTTATTTCTCGAGATTGTATACCATTTTTCCTCTTACCGTCGCGTCGTGGTGAATGTACTGACAAGTAAATTGAATACAACTCTTTTACTGAATGAAAGTATTCTCCGGGTCTATTGAGTTTAAATTGATTTATAAATTCCCGAAGTTTCGAACACTCGGTCACGAGATAGACTGTTTTGTTTTACGTCCCCGTGTCAACCTTTTGATGATTTATTTCGGTTCGATGTACGCAGAAATACGTTATAGTATTTTGAATCACATTTAACTTTTAACCACAGATCTCACCTTACTGTACGGACGTCTTCACCTTAAATAACAACACGAAAAAAACGTTTCGTCGGAAATATTTACGCGTCTTATTTTCATTTTTAAATTTCATAGTTCATTCCTACTTTCACAGTAGATTCCTTATTAGATACTATATATACTATATTAGATAGTATATTCCTACTTTCATAGTCCCGATATAGGTTTAGAAGGTATTTGACGCATGTTACATGAAGGGTCATCAAAAAAGGGTTTATGTATTTTTTTGGTATCGTTACGTACTCAACGATGAGGATCGTTTATTTTATGATGAAAATGAGGTATTAAATTTCTATGTCTACAATTAACAGGAGTTCCATAAACTCTACGAGTTCATGCCTTCTTATATAGTTTGACGCGCTTCATTTAAAACACCCAAGAGGACTAACAAATACGCGCGTGCTCTTAGTAATTTCTGCAATTGCCTTTCAACGTTCATTGCCAGCAATCATCCAGAACTTTTCGAGTGCGATGGCCCTCGTTGTGAGCAATTATCAGTAGG